GGGGGGGGGGGGGGTCCTTTCCACCACCTCCAAATGCAAGACACGTGCTGAGAGCTTTCCCTGCATCTCAGTAGGACGATTGACCACCCCCGGGGACAGGATCTCACTATGTAGCTCTCGCTAGCCTGGAAGTTGCTGTGTAGACCAGGCTGGTCTGGAATTAACAGAGATACGCCTGTCTCTGTGCTGGAATTAAAGACCTGTGATATCACACTCTGCCTTCAATATGAATACTTTTAAAAAAATAACTTGGAAGGCCGCTGGCTAGACGTAAGAAAAAAAAAACTTACTTATTCTTATTTTATGTACATTGGTATTTTGCCTGTGTGAGGGTGTCAGATTTTGGAGTTACAGTTGTGAGCTGCCACGTGGGTGCTGGGGATTGAACCCGGGTCCTCTGGAAGAGCAGCCAGTGCTCTTAATCACTGAGCCATCTCTCCAGCCCCAATATGAATACGTTTGACCATATAAAAACCGTGTAAATAAAGAAATGGCAGAGTACTGGGCTCCCTTAAAAATATGTGACACCAAGCTGGGCATTGTCCACCAGCCTGACCTACATAACAAGTTCAAGGACACCAAGGACTACATAGACCCTGTCTCAAAAACAAACAACAAAAAGAAAGAAAAAGGATATGAAACAGTAATTTTTTTTTACTCTTGATTATTGTTTTTGTCCAATACAAAAAAAAAATGTACAAGACAAGGTGGTGGACATCTCTAATCCCAGCACTCAGGAGGCTGTGGCGAGCAGATCTCTCTGATTTCCAGGCCAGCCTGGTCTACATAGACAGCAAGTTCCAGGCTAGCCAGGCTAAATAGTGAGACCTGGTCTCAAAAACCAAACCCAGTCATTTGTGCTGCCAGCACTCCTGCAAACATGGCGAACATTCCCACGACCCTCCCAGACTTTCTGCAAGAAATGTAGCAAGCACCAGCCCCACAAAGTGACACCATATAGATGAAGGGCAACGATTCTCTGGGCGCGCAGGGAAAGCGGCGATCTGGCAGGAGAGAGAGGCTGCGACGGGCAGACTACTCCTGTTTGGAACAGGAAGGCTGAAACTAGAGAGAGGACTGTGCCGAGGCTTGAGCCCAGCTGCCGTTCTGATGGTACCGGCTGCTGGAGATGCGTGTGAACTGGGAGGCTGTGCAAAGGGAAAGGGCCACGTGACCCAGCTCTGAGCTGACTTTGTTACAGTGATGCTAAAACCATGAGCGGTCACCCAAAGAGCAGACAGGCACAGAAATGTCAAGCTGTCCACAGTGTTCAGGCCTGTAATCCTAGCGTTCAGGAGAAGGAGGCTGGAGGATTAGCTAGAGTTCAAGGCTAGCACAGAGAATAGCAGCGGATAGGGCTATAATAGCAAGGCTGTCTTAAAAAACAAATCATAAGTTTTGTTTCTGTTTTGAGATGGAGTATGTAGTTGTCAAAGCTTGAACTCCCGATCCTGTTTCCCAGGTGCTGGGATTACTGGCCTGCTCCACCATGCTTGGCGGAACTAAAACTATTTAGTTGAGGGGATTGAGAGATGGGTCAGCAGTTAAGGGTTTGCACTGCTCATGCAGGGAGCCTGAGTTCTGTTCCCAGCACCTACTGCAGGCTGCTCACAACCTCCTGTAACTCCTGCTGCATGGGATCCAGCGCCCTCTTCAGGCCTCTATGGGCACCTACACTTTAGTGCTCCTACCCACACACATTATTAAAAAGGAATGCTGCTTCTAAGCTTCCCCAGGACAGTCCTGAACATACTGTTCCCTGCCCCCACTTTGAGGGAGATATCCTTATCTACTTGAAGGTCTTCCTTACACCTTGGAGGTTGTGACACATAGAGAAGCCAGAGCTGTGGTGGTATTGTGTTCCCCAAAATATTGTGTACTCTAATAAATTTATCTGGGGTCAGAGAACAGACAGCCACTAAATACAAAGGCTAGAAAATGGTGGCACTCACACCTTTAATCCTAGCATTCCAGAGATAGAAATCCCTCTGGATCTCTGTGAGTTCAAG